TGTTTATATATACACATATATAATGTATGTATGTGAATGCATGTCACAAGTATGTATATGTATGTATATATGTGTATATATATCAGGTGCATGTATATGTGTGTGCATATATATATCAGGTACATAACTGAGCATTCCACAAGAGAAAACTATATATGTGGTTATTGCCAACTCTGGTTATTTGTATAAATTACACTGTCCTATGATGCCAGCATGGCAGAACTAGAAAGTAGACAGGTAGAATTTGGTTAATTAACTTGAGGTATTTGGAAGGAAGGAAACTGTGATATTGAGTACTGAGACTCTAGTGGTAAGAACACATTAGGAGCTAATGTAGAAATGGTGAGGGAGCCTCATTGTAAGGCTCTCTTGTGGGGACTTTGATTCCTTAATCAGTTTATGTGGAGCTGCACACTTCGCTTAAAACCAGTCAATAATTTACAGAGCTTAAAACATCATCATGGAGGTCAAAGTAATAAAAAATATACTGTAGAATTTAATTGGATGAAGCCACATCATCTAAACTGTGGCTAGTCTTGTTATCTGTTTGACATTTTTTAGAACCATGTGCAATATGTATTCCTTCCCCTTAAGAATGGCCTATCTATATCCCCTCAAAATCATAAATATTATATTTGAGAGACTCTGATTTCTGGGTTAACGTCATCCACAAAAGTTGAGTGTTAACATTATATCTTATGTTGTCTCATGCGGAATTACGGTGGACCTGTAGAAGTTCAGAGCTGGAAAGAGGCTAGCTAGCTACTTATTATAAAGGTAAAGCAAGTGGGATCTAGAAGGACTAATTCACCTGCCTAAAATAACTGAGCTGGATTGTAACAGACCTGGGAGAAAAAACTGTAGGCTTCTGATTTCGTCTAGTACTCTTTTCACCATACTTTGTGCCTAGCATAATCTCCATGCAATACTGTTCAGGCTTACTAAATCATACCAGCCCTCACTTTTTATAATCCTAGATTCTAGAAGACTTAATTTGATCATAAATGCTACACAGGAGACATATAGCTTAGTGTCATTGTTTCAGAAGCTTTGGTCTGCAAAATTGCTTTGATTTATATACAATTTATTGAGTGATTATCTTGTTATTAGACTAATGCTTTATTTACTTTTTTTGTTGGAAAAATACTCTTAAAAAACTAAGATATTAAAGCTTTGAAAAATAGCTATTGGGCATGTTCAATTACAATATTTCATAAAATTTTTTAAATGCAGAAATTTAGTGGATACATTTTGTATTCTGAATATATATTTATTGATGGACTATAACAGTTCAAATAGAATCATTTACAGCTTGTTGAGTAAATAAAAGTGCTTCCATAAAGATTCACACGACTCCTAGCTTTTATTTCAGGTAACTAATTTTTTTTGAAAAATTGCTTAAATTTAGATTTACATGAGAGAGTACGAGAACACCTCAGTAGTCTAAAAAGTAGTTTAAATGACCATAGACTTTACAGATTTAAAGTATAAAATCAAGTAATGAAAATTAACTTTTAATATCTCCAATAAAAGTTACTTAACTGTCTTTTACTCGCTGTGTTATATTAAAAGTGTTATTGATATATTTCTGGGTGTTATTTGTAACAAGAGAAATAGTTCATATTTACTTGTTTTTTTAACATTACAGTCTGAAATCAGAATTTCACCAGAACTTTTGCTGGCTTATTTTTAAGCTATTAAGTGACTTAAAACCAGATTTTATTCTATTTCAAGGAAATAAATTATTTTCTAGCAGTGTACGGAATATGGAGTATGACAAATGACCCTGGTAACAAAAAAAAGTTGTTTTTATATACACAAAGGTGTATCTGTTTACTTGGTGGAGGGCATACTTTTTGTGGAGTGCAAATCTTTAAGGAAATCACTTTTTTGAGGTTATTTTTTATGTTTAAGGTCAGAAGATAGTGTGCAAAAAGTGAATCTCAGATTTGAAATGATAGAGAAATACTCAAAACCACATTTCAAGGTCATTTAGTAAAAAGCTATATTAGTCGAAAAGACGCTTTCGGACAACATGGTTGAAAATAGACATATTAAAAAGTAAGATGAGAAAAGACAAAAGAGAGACCCTTTGTTGAGTGCCAAGATCCATAGAATATTAAGGAGAAATGAGCAATTAGAGACCTTCCCTAAAGGACAGCCTTCCATACATAATGTGTTAGGTTGATGGAGTCACAAGAACAAAAAAAGGAAACTTCAAGCATAGAATATAGATTTGAGTAAATTATATATATGTTTAACATTGCAAAACAGGAGTGATTGGTCAGTCTGGCACTGTTATCGTTCTCTAGACTGAGGCATCAAGGAGAAAAAATCCTCGGAGAATATTTGACCTTCTTTCTTCGGATTCTGCACATTCCCTTTTCATTCGCTGTTTTCTTAGACAGCACTTGAAGTATAAAGATGTAACAACAAACTTTTGAAGCCTTGCCTGACAATATTCTTTTATCATAATAAAGAATACTATTGCTATAACTGAGTTTTAGTAAGCAGAAAATCAGGTCCCACCATCTCCTGCTTGCCAGCATTCCCTTTACTCTCAGGTCTGGCAGAATAAATTAAGTTAGTAGGTGGCATTGTCGTCTTTTTTTGCAGTACCATCAATCAAGTAATGCTCCTGCCAATTCAGACACACAGCTAAAAATAAAATCAGGAAAGATGGTTCTCGGGGCAGTAAAGGTGCAATAAAAGTACACCTCCAGCCTTTGATGCACTGAGATGTCTGTGTTCCAGTTCCGATGTGATATGCTCAGCCCTGTTCAGATTCTGCAAGTGAAACCTCATCAGTGCTACTAATCAGGGTCAACGCATGATCTCAGGAGTTCTGTCCTTCTGTGGGGCTGTGCTAAACCCGCTCCTTCATAAAGCCATTCCAGTGGCCATTTTAGGTGTTTTTTTTTTAACTTCCAGCATAAAAAGAGATGACTTCCATCAGCTGTAGGCTTGCAGTGGAGTATCAAGAAATCAAAAGAACAGAGATCAAAGAAAATTGCTGAACTAGGTGTTAGATACAGCCATTGATTTTTCTCCAGTTGTAGTTTTAAAAAAAATCCACAAAAATGGTAACACATACAACAGTTGAATTTCTAACACTTTTCTACGGCCAGAGATAACTAACTGCTCTTGTGTTTTCACATGTAGAAATGGTTTTGTATAACATGACATAATAAAACAGATCCTTAGAGTTCACACTATTTTGTTGTCAAAACTGTGAGGGAATCTACCTAAAAGATGTTTTTTAAAAAATGTTCTGTGGTATAAAATATGGTTTTTAGTGGAGACACTTATGACTAGACTTATTATCTCAGCAACATTTATTTCCTGGGAATCTAGAGAAGTCTGACATACAACTGATCACTATTTTCCTTCTATCTATAAATGTTGTAAAATAACACCTATCTGCTTTACTGGTAAGACTTTGTTCATGCTAACTGTTAACTACTCAGTACTGATGTTACTTAAGGCTTAAATATATAGCTTCTTCAAAATATTAATTCTATTTTCAAGTACTTCATGAGTATGTGTATTTCTTGTTTGATTTCCAATAGTTTCCGGATACGAGCAATGCTTTTAAATATGTGACACATTGTTTTCATGTTGCAATCCTGTATTTTGATGCATGATTTTTAAATACTTGTAATAGAACAGTATTTATTAAAACAGGGTTGTGGCATCATTATTAAAGGCAAAATGTTCATTTCACTGGCATTTTATATCTCAGTGCGCTATTTTCTAGAGGTCACTAGGACTGACTTTTTTTCTTTGTGCCGTATTTGTCAAGTAAGTCAGACTCATAGATTTTAAAAACATACATATCCATAGTTCATTTTCTTTTTTTAAATTTTCAAATGAACATTTATTAAATATTAAATGGGACATGGTTAAGAGATACATCTCTTCTGCCTGTGGATGATACTCCACTCTGTGTATCCTCACCTGGGTACGTCCTATGTCTCTCTAGTTTTTTACAATTCTTTAGTCTCCTATAATGGAAGAGTAGGCATGTTCAGAAGCTTAGAGGCTTCTTAAAAAGTTGTGGTTAACAGAGTAAAGATGACAGCGAGTGGAAAATCTGCTTCATTTTAAACAAGTGCTAAGATGAACTCGTGGCTTTCCACAGGGATGCTGGGCTCTTCTTAATAATCATGAGTGACATTTGCTGTGGCCTCCTCAGTGGCTTCTTCCACAAATCTGCAGGTGTTTGATTTCATATCAGTAGTCAATATGAAAACCTGTGTATTCTCCAAATATACGTTGGTGGTCGATTCTGCATCACCAATAAAGTCTAGGCCAGTGATTGACTCTGAGTCAGTGGTTGTTGGCTTTAGTGACTCTAAGTTACTGAACATGTCTGTGTCTGAGTCAATGTCAATGTGTGGAGGTAATGCAGGGAACATTACAGCCAGGACAAACCAGGTAGAGAGGACAAGAGCCTTCCTGATCACGGTGCTGGCGGGGAGCACAGGAGGCTGGAGAAGGTGCGGAGGCAGGTGGCAGACCTTGAGTGCCATAGTTCATTTCCTAAGGAGTCTAATCTTCCATTTCATAAAGCATGTGTTATATAGCATAAGGAAATAAACACTATTAGCGCTGGTTTCTGCATATTGCCAGCGAATGGAAACAGAGGTAAAAATGCCTGATTGTATTCACTCTTTGATTCAATAACTTTATAAAAGTTTTATACAAAGTTTTAGTGTCTAAGCAAATTCCTAATGTCCTGAAAACTTTATGACATAAAGTAAATGAGAGATACACTCCACTTGAAAAATAATTTAACATTTAATGTATTATTATATAAGTATATAAATGGCAGTGTCCACTCCATTTTATACTACAGTGATTATTTGTCCATTTCTCTGTTTACAGTTTTAGACTCTCTAAGAGTTTTCAATTCTGTGTTTATTATTTTTTTCTTTTTATATCACAGACAGGATCACGA